GGGGGGGCTCAGGCCTTCTAAGGGGGCTGAGCCCCCCCTAGCCCCCATCTGGTTACGCCACTACGTGTATATAAGCTCGAATGCATACAAAAATGTTTCCGTAGCATTTACGAAGGTCAATTTCCAGCTATTTTATGTTCTGAAACGATGTTTAGGTATGATAAACGGTAGTATTGGCCAATAAAAACTGTTTTAACCGACAAAATGCCGTTTCATGAACCACATGGGTGTTGTTCAAATAAAATCAAATGATTAATTGTTTAGCATTGTAGTTTATCATGGATTTATTTGTATTTCCTATTATTTATTGCATATAGTCCTCACAGACACGAAAGATGACAAAGCGAGTATAGCATACGAGCAATAAATAGAGCCCATATTTGATGAATAGTTAAGCAAAGTGCAAAATTAACATAGAATTTATGATCGTATGAACTTTTGTGCTCACCAATAGATATCGAGAAACAGAAAACATATGAAAGCAAATAGTAAAAAGCACTGCAGTGGCGAAATAGTACTTTTATATCATAGCTGTAGTGATTAGAAGGAATATATGACTCATCTAGGTGTTGATTTGAGTGTTATAGGGTCAGAAAACAGAAGAATAATTTATACCGGTATACCGGCAGGTCCAGTCCAGTCTGATCAGTTAGACCTGTGCCGGTACCGGTAAGGAAAAAACCCTACCGGTTACAACTCTGATCCATTTATGTAAAAAAAAAAGATTTTTTTAAAACGCGATCTAAAAGAAGTTTTCAAGTGCGTACAGGTAGAAATTTTCAGCCACACCCTCATCCACAAAACAATGTATCCCCTCTGCAATATCGCAAAAGTCTCAAGTTATCTGACATAAAATAAGATTTATTAATACATAATCTCAGCCTATCAATAGTTTTTCATGGAAAGAAAGAGAAGAGAAGAAAATTTTAATTTTTTTGCAAATAAAATCCATTGATGAAATAATTCAATACAATTGTCTTCTGTATTAAGAGAGGGTCCATAAGGGGATCGAGCATTCGAGGCACTCCAAAATTTTTGATCCTATGATTTTTTTTATGCATTCGAAAGATCATAATGAGTAACTGTCAAATCCAAATTACTAGCGCATTTGGATGTACTATAGGAAAGTTAGCCCTAACCAACTTTTAAGCACCAAAATTTTCTATGAAAAAAAGAAGCACAATTCGTACTACAAATGTCAATTGAGGTTATTCTTCAATGAGTAAGAGAAGTTTTTTGAGTAATATATCAAAAGATAGAGCGTGAAAAACTGAACAAAATGAGCTATTTACATATTAGTTTTCAATGGATAAAACTCACCTTACTAGCCAAATACTGTCGATGAGGCCTCATTTTTTGACTAAAAAAGTATGTCATTTTTTTCAGTATTTTAGCTGACATTCAGCTATTTCTAACGGGCCCAAACTGAATTTTTGATATGTTGTACAACTTTTTTTTTGTCTACAAAATGGTTATAAAAAAGTTTTAAAAAAACTTTCTGTTCGAGGTGAAAAATGAGTTACAAGGTATATCAACCTAACATCATGCAAAAATCACTATAGATAATTGTTTATAAGGAAAAAATTATTTTTGAGATATTTCATTCATTTTAAAACATTTTTCAGATACAGTCAATATATCTCAATGATTGTTTGTTCTAAATAACTCAAAAAATCGACTATTGTTGCTTTCTATAGATATAAAATCCAGTACGAAATTATTTCTAGATATGATGTCAAGTATGATGAAAAAGATGTTGTAAGAATGAACTAACAAAGCTAGGTTTTTTTTTTGCTTTCCTGTCAATGTAAATCCACTGTGAGATCATATATATCATCGACAATATGTAAGTGAAGAGAAACAACAAAAAGAAAAGAAAAATTTCCATTGAACATGTGCGATAATATATAGTTGTGTATATGTTCAGAATTTCCGAAATTCTGCATCTAGCGAAATTTCGGAAATCACAGAAATTTCTAAAATTTCCAATATCTCCAAAAACTTTTCATTTGCTTTGCTATGTAGTTATCGAGTTGATGGAAGCTTGAGAAATTTCTGTAATTTCCTATTTCGGAAATCTGAACATATCTCCTAGATTATAGTGTAATGTCGTCTACAAATACAACAATAGATAAAGACAAATTCACATTCATCGTTCAATACATACAGGTTATAGTTGAAAAACATGGTTTTATTAAAGCACAAGATTTAGTAAGAAAAATCAAAACTTTTATCAACATATTTTATTTTATTTTGTTAAAGACAAATCCATCTGATTCTGAATTTACATCCGATTATACATGGTCTTGTCATTATCAATATAACAATATTGATATTGAAATTAATGCACAACGAAAAAAAAACAAGATGTTTCTAACCCTACAGCAAGTAAAGAAAATACTTTTTATTCAAAATAAAATAATACAGACTCGAAAAAAATTTTAGAAACCGAACACAACTCTAAGAAAACAAACAACAATTGATATGGATGAACATATTCAAATAGTTGGTGACAAATTAAAGTAAGACACTATTCTTTATGAAAAATTTTTTAATATTCTTGTATAGATTTAATAAACAAGAAAAATTGGATCTTTCTTTAAACATGTTGATCAATGGATTTAAAGATGTCATTACTAATACAAGTTCTGGTGGTAATGACAATCAATTATCATCACAACAACAACAATCATTACCACCAATGATGCATGATCCACCACCTCCTGATCATCATCCACATATGGGTGTGGGTGTGGGTGTGGGTGTGGATGGGTGCTGATGTGGGATGTGGGTGTGGGTGTGGGTGTGGGGTGGCTGGGTGTGGGTGAGTGTGGGGTGTGGATGTGGGTGTGAGAAAAGATAAGTCCTACACCCACACCCACACCCCCCACACCCACACCCACACCCACACCCACACCCACCCCCACCCACACCCACACCCACACACCCCACACCCACCCACACCCACACCCACCCTACAACAATTCTACTTTTGAAAACTTCGAAACTGTCTGTGATTATATCATCTATTATTACATAATGAGTTATCACTTTGATCGTCGAAGTCCGGTGTATAACTCTTTATATCTGAGTTGTTTCTTTTCTAAGAATTTTTTCGAAATTCTGTAAAATCAAATCGGCTCGAATCGGTTAAGCTGGTTGTCACTATGAACAAGCTCAAATAATGAAAAAAAAAGATTTTGAATGATATCAGAACAATAATGATTTACGATGATATAATGGAAAGAGATCAAAAACGAAACAAATCAGAAGATATAGGAATAAAATTAGAATTTCAAGTACAATTTACATATAATCTTATTCAAAGTCGAAGATCGAATGAGCTTTTATAATTATACAAAATCAACTCATCAAAATAATTTTTTTTTTGACATTCAATACATGATAATTTTCGTGAACAATTGAAAATACATAATCCAAGTCCTGATGAATATCGTTCTATATGGCAAAAGATCGTTCTTCAATGTGTTCTCAATTCAGCTCGATCTAGACCTAGTGCACAATGGCTGCTATCATATGCTGATCGTCTTTCTCCTTGTAATCTTCAACATGCAAATAGTCTTTATGTTACACTCAATCTTTTTCTTTTCACCTATGGATCAGCAATCTTTCGAGAACGTTCAGATATTGATATATTCAAAATGTTAGATGATTTTAATCATTATTTTGTAGAAAATCGTAATCAATAAAAACAATTTTCATCTGTATATAAAATGGTACATGCTTGGGACACAACAATCGTTGTATTTCATTTAGCATTTAATAAGAACAAATATCTAGTGTGTGCATCTATGATCAGAATTAGTTTTGAATCATTAGATATTTGTTTTCTATCGCCAACTATTAAATCATTGAACCTTCTTGCACAAAAACATGCACCTGAGTTTTATACTATGATTGCTTATAATCCAAATGTAAAACTTCTTCCATCTGTATGTATAAATTATTTTCAACGATAGTTGGAAAGCAGTATGACTTGCATTCCATATTCGACTGAAATCGTCAATCGATTTGTTTTAGAAGTATTTCATATTAATCAAACGGACTATCGAATATGAACTATACAAAAAACAAAGTTTTTTTTTGTACATATATGTTTTTTTTTAAATGAGAGAATAATAAAATCATCAATAATGATTACAATAATTTATTTTAAATCCTCGTGACATTATTTTACTTGAAAGTTATTGACGTTATTGTTTAACTATTGATGCAAATTAGTGGCGTAACCAGGATTTTCTCGTATGCTGGATCTTATCTTT